AAAAACGGTATTAATCCATTTTGACAAATTGGTTCAAACTGAAAGTGTGAGACCCATGAATATATTTTGTCAAAATTTGGAGGAATAACTTAAATTCAAATTCAAATTTCAATGCAAATCATTTCTATAAAAATAAAAGATAAATTTCTATTTTCTTGGAAATTAAAATCAAATTTTGGAGTTGCCAAAATTAACTTCTCTCTCTTGAAGCTTATAAATAAAGACTCTCACTATTGAGAAAAGGGAGAGGACATTTTGGTTAAGGTCTTGCAAATTTCAAAGCAATCTCAAGACCCTGTCAAATTGTTTTCTTAAAATTCTCTCTAAAAGCTCTTCAAACTTGAAGTGAAGGATTATTAAGCACTCAAAAGTCGTTCAAGACCAAGTTGTTCAAGCCCTTGATCAAGCATTTTTTCTCCAAGTTTCTTTATTCAAAGAGTTGAATAAATCCATCAACTTGTTCAATTCACAAACAAGCTTCTATAGCCGTTGGATTGCAATTTATTTTGGAGATCGAATCAGAAAATTTGCTCTTTTGTAATAGAGTAAACCACAGAGAATTATACTTATTTTTATTCAAATCAATAAAATTAATTATTTGTGCATTTATTTTTGTGTTAATTGCAGATACAAAATTTGTGTTTACAGCATCAACTACATTTTTTTGCATGCGTGTATTTATTTATTTATTTTATTTTATGGATGTCATCCAGATAAGTACCACTTGAAAAAGTGATCTCATATATATACATTTAATCAAAGTATCCCAATTTCAGTAAATAACCTTCGTCCACAGGCATTCAAACAGGTATATCAAGTAAGCATTTAGCCTTATGGTAGTATGTTTGATATGGCAGCAATCACATTCATGTAATATGCTAAAGAAAAAATGCTTACCTTATGTCCGAAGGCGAGTCAAAAGAAAGCAAATAGTTAGAAAAAATGTATGATCCTAATTAATGCAATATGACTAATGCAATACATACAACGTGCAATTAAGAAGCTCGGCTACTGGAATGGCATGCGAGTCAATTCAAGGTATGTGATAGCGCATGTATTCAAGTAAAGAGTTTGAATTTGACATTTAAATAATATGATAAGCCGAACTTTATGCATGCAAAACGAATGAATGCAAGTCGTGGAAATGCTAATTTGAAAGTATGATGTCCCTATGCTAACCATCATAAGCAGATAAATAAAAGGGAGAAAGAATGGGGGGTTGAAAGACATATAACTTATTACATATTTGTCCTCACGAAGAAGGGTTCGAATGTCCAAGTGTTTGAATAAATAATTATTACAAATCCGAATGAATAATAAAAAGGGGCTGTCTAATTTATGACAATAATGATATGCAATGATTGCTTGATGTTCCTCAGGAATTACTCTATCTGCCCTGCTAGGATTTGTTTTGTTTCACCCCTAGTTACTGCTTTCGACCAGAAGTGTATTGTTTTGCAATTTATTGGAGCCTTGCCGACCCAAAATGCGACTTAGTCAAGCCCCAAATAAATCCAATACCTTGTTTTCTTGTGGAAATCAGTTTTTTGTACTTGAGGTGAAACAGTGCAGATAGAGTATTCCTAGCCATGTTTGTCTTTTCTATCCTTCTCTATCATAGAAAATACTCAAAGAGGAACAAACTCGGTTCCCAAACCATCTATGGTTGCAAGTTGATTTGCAAGATGATTTTGGACACGATAGGACAAAGATCAATAAATGCAATGCATAACAACCACCCTTCCCTCTTATCATGAAGTGAATTCAAGAAGGGAAGTAGAGACGCTTCAAGGTTCATCAAATTATCATGAATCCTTGACACAATAGACTCTGGCATAGCATCTGGCCGTAAAGACGCTTCAAGATTCATCAAAACGTCATGAATTAATGTAAGACAAGCCTTGACATAATAAACTCGGTATAACATCCGACCAAATCCAATCAATCATATTAGTTCTTTATATCGGTTGATTCATTTTAAACTCAATTTTATTAGCCTCTTTTATATTACCTTTCCTTTTCTTTAATCCATTAAGTCCACGATGATATTTACATCCACTAAGTCCGAAACACAATAAAGGGAAACAAGTGTCGACTTAACCCGAATAAATAAACCTTATTTCCTTCGGGAGAAATTACAAAGGAAGAGTCAAACTTATTTACAAGTTAGGGATTTCAAGTCAAACCCAAGATGCGCAACAAGGACTAGTCAAACTCAAAAGAGTGATAATGACTTAGAAAAATCCAAAGTGAGCGATAATAACTTGAAATCCAAACTTGATAATAAGCTATAATGGCACTTTCCTTGGTGATTTCCAAAGGTCAATTATTTCCTTAAAAGTAAACACACTGGTGATAAAAAGAAATTAAACAAAAAATTGGCTTTAATATAAGAAAGATGTATGCCTTTGGTAATGAACCTCCGAAGAGATTAAACCATTAAGCATGAAAAAGTTTTATGCCTTTGGTAATAAACCTCCGAAGAGATTAAACCATTAAGCATGGAAAATTTTCTTTCTTATACTTGAATAACAACCTTAATTTTTCACAACTTTTTAATCGAAATAATCCAAGAATGGAGGGAGGTTACAGAGATGATTATGCAAAGTTGATGTATTGGTTATTACGACACAAACATAATATTCAAAATAAAACTATTGAAATAAATTAAACAACCCCTAAATAGCATAAAATAGTGCTGAAATTAAGCCATAGAAGGTGCACAATCATAAAGAGATTAAAGCTAGTAAACAACTGTAAGGAATGGTGGCTAACCCCCCCTCCCCCACTTCTATAACTTCAAATCACATATTTTAGATGTTGAAAAACAGCCCCAAAACAGTCCCAAATCAGCCCCAAAACAATGGTAAAAATTAGAGAAAACAAGTGGGAAACAGAAGGATTTAAGCTAGGAATAAGGCTCAAGCAAGGGTGATTAACCCCTCCACCTTTGGGTAGCTTTTAATCACAAGTTTCAGCCCTTAAAATAGTCCTAAAACAATATGAAAACATAAGAAAATGATGAACAAAGATTGAAATGAAAGTGAGGAAGCTTTACCTCTTGTAGAGAAGGTGTTCTTGTCGTAAACCAAACTTGATTCCAAAGCACCCTCAAGTTTGAGTTATGATTTTCAATTCTCAAATCAAGTTCCAAGTTCAAGCTCTTGTATGGTACGTGTGGATGATATGAGAGCTTCAAGGCTTATGGAAGAATAAGATAGATGGTAGCTTTGATCTTTCTACCATTGGATATTTCTCATTTCTTTGATATTTCTAAACTCTTGGATATTTCTATACTTGATATTGATTTGTTCAAACACTTGATATTGTTCTCCAACCTCTCTCACAGCAATCTAAACCCTGCCATTTATAGGCCTCGAGCAGGTTTGATCAAAATATCAGCAAATTTGGGTAGCTGGCAGAACACTGCTGAAACTACCTGAAAAGTCAAGAGGTCCGGCCGGACCTTGGTGTCTCCAGCTGGATATCACTGAGGTCCCGCCGGACTTCAATGCATCCCGACTGTTCTACACTTTCAGGTTCAATACAAGTTGGTATAAGGTGCAATACAGAAATACAATGGGCATGGCAGGTTGGAATTGTTTAGAGCTCGAACTCGGATTCCTTTATTGAGAATTAAAACCACTGACTTAATGTAATCGTCAACATCGAGTGCTTGGAATAAAGCGCCTAAGTCTTACGAGCGGTCAAAATTGGGGTGTCTACACTTGCATGCACCGAGGCTTAGTTCATCATTCAAACTGCATTGTCGTTTAAATACTTCTTTGAATACGTGCTTAGACTGCATGCTATTTCATTGACTCATATGCCATATTAGTACCCAAGGCTATTAATTGCATGTTGCATGTGTTGCATTAGCCATATTGCATAGTTAGGAATCATGTATTTTTCTAACCTATTTATTTCTTAGCTTGGAGTACTAGGTGAATTTTAGTGCTTTAGCATATCGCATGCCTGTGAATATTGCCATATCTAGCATGATTGCCAAGAGGCTAAGTGCTTACTTCTTAAACTGCTTGAATGTTTATGGATGAAGGCTTGTTGCTTGAATTGGAATGATTCAATGAATGTACGTTTTAAGCCCACTTTGTTAAGTGCCAAATTCAAAAGCTTTAAGCCCACTTTGTTAAGTGCCAAATCAAAACAACTTTCGAAAAACAAACATGAAATTAAGTAGTTCCAATTTGAGCAAACTAGTCTATACTTGTGTGTATGTGCATCACATAGTAATGTTAGCCGATTAAAATCAGAACAAGAGCATATAATGTTGATAAAAATTATATCATGATTAGTAGAGGTCGATCTTTGATCGGGCGAGCGGGGGTGCTCAATTCATGACCTTCCCCTCTCGTACCTAAGTTCCCGAGTCGATGCAACTTTGGTGATGACGGACACGTGGCCTTTGGCACGAGTCATGGGTTTCCTAAATTTTTCCAAAAAAAATATTTAAGTGGCGACTCTATATCTGGCAAAGCAGTCCAATTTTAGAAATTTAATTCAAAATTGATTTTCCAAAAGATTTTTCGGAATTGGACTCTTTGGGGTTTACCAATTTCACATTGCACTTGTGAGATTAGATTCAGAACCGCGGGAGTCCGAACTGAAGGACTTATTTCGAACTTCTGAAAGGGGGCGCGAAAAAGTCAAGCTGCAGTTTCTGGCGACTCTGCTGGGGATTTAGTTTGAAATTTTATTATATGAAATTTTATCTACACTTATATGTTTCTTTGCATTGCATTTGCATTGGTGCGCCTAAGTCACTATGTTTGCCATCTATTATTCCTGAACGGTTTGCCGGAGGCTTGCTTGGAAAAGCTTGCCAAAAGGTTGACCGATTGTGGGCTTTACCACGATGGGAACACAACCCTTGGATCTGGACTACCGTTGTACCATTTGATCCTCCTTTCACTTCTCGGTGTTAGGTGTGAGAGGTATATTAGGTAGTCTTGTTGATGTACCCATTTTGACCATTCCATAAGTATCCCTTGCAAAAGTTAATTCCATAAGTAAATAAAGTAGGATTTTTAAGTGCAACATCACGAAGCACAATAACTGAAATTATCGCTTTGCATATTAGCGATATAACTTTCTAAGCCGCACTATCAAATCCAATATAATCTTTGTTGACTCAAAACGAATAATGATGATATGGTTCCAATACAAACTAACTGTCAAATATTTGAGTTCAAAATTAACAGGAAAGTTCAAATTCGAAAGAGACGAGTGTCTCTCCAAAATCTGCAATCAAGTGTTGTTGGAATGCCACGAACAAAAAAACGGCAATAGTTGGCAGACAACCAATTCTATGGATTCAATTCTCTTTCTTCAAGCCATTGGATGTCGCCTCCTGCAATTTTACAAGTTACTCATCAAACGAAATGAAGCGTCTCAAATACATGTGTTTCCATCTTCTTAGTAGAGATTGTCAATTTCCCAATATGTCAATTTAATTTGTAATTAGACTTTCCCCTTCATAAGGTGATTTTATGCCGATCTATATGATACTATCTATATGGTTAAGTAGGCAGAGAAAAACCCGACAATACAGACAGTTCTCTAAATAAATGTAGTTTGGACAATAAAGCAACCAAATTGTAGCTGTAACATGCCATATTCCCAATTACATTGAAACATTACATCACTGAAAATCAATTACATGGGGAGTCTGGATTGTCATGTGTTACCTCTTTGGTCGGCTTCGGTCTTCCTCGTAGTCCATCACTCCACCAGGTTCAGAGTAGATCTCCTCATGCCCTCGGAAGGCTCATTGTGGAAGGTAATGAGCTTATGAGGAAGAGTGTTATTTGCAATTCCAATGCTACCACCAGTGGTGGTACAGTTATGAACTGCTCAGAAGTAAACACTGTTACCACTCCCAGCAATAGCCAAAAACCCACCACTTCAACTCGGCCCCAAGCCCGAAATTTCTATCCTCTTTACATGAGTCTTTTTCAAGCCTTGAAAATGCTGGGAGAAAAAGGGCACCTACAGCTTCTAGAACCCCTAACCCTTCCAAATCCTCTTCCACCAAGACATGACCCCGCTAAACACTATGCCTATCATCAACAGCCCGGTCACGATACAAACCATTACATCTGCCTCCGTCATAAGATTCAGGATCTTATTGACGAAGAGACCATAGCTCCACCAAAAGAACCTCAGGCTACCACTAACCCGTTACCTCCATATCTCAATCTAATCCATACACTGTCGTCCACCTACAACCCCAGCATATACATCACCCCAGCCCATTTACCCAAGCCTGAGGTGTTCATTCTGGAAAGCACGGACTTGTGCATGATGGATGCATTTGAACCCTAATCATCTCAAACCCATGAACTCACTACTTCTGAGCTAACGAGCATGATTGAAAAATTGCAAAGAACTATGGCAGATTTAGCCTTTGGAATTTTGGCTCCATCATCGACCACATCACGGGCTAGAAATTTCATGCCAAAAGGCTCCTCAATCTTGAGGCGAGCTATAATTGAAAAGGGCCAACCTAAAGCTATCTCAGGTCTGGGTGGTGGCATGTTAATAACAACGGGGCTTCACCTTGATGTAGCAACGCAATCCTTTGGAAAAATGGAGGCAAGTGGCAAGAGCGAGGTTAGGGCAAACATTGATCCCTATGAACATCTTCAGTGGACCGTTGAGGCTTTAAAGGTCAAAGGGCTGAACAAACAGCAAGTGTTGGTGGTTGTTGCAAAAACTGTAGATGACATCTTTATCACTCAGGTTAAGAGCATTTCGAATCAAGGGACAAGCCAGGAAAAGGACTGTCGTACTAGAAACACCTATTTCAGCTCCAATCCTACATCTGTTGGAGATCAACAAACCCAATTAACACTTGCCAAGCCATTCGTCACTCCTGGAAGGATTGGTAACCGCACCTATAATCCCCTTTTCATGACCTTATCCAAAGCTCTCTAAATCCTAGTAGGACAAAGCCATCTCAAACCCCTTGACCCTCAGTCTCTCCCTGATCCCCTTCCAACCATGTATAAAGCTGCCAAGTACTGCGCTTTCCATCAATAAACTGGCCATGACACTGACAGTTGCTTTCGCTTTCACCGTGAAGTTCAAGATCTGATTGACAATAAGGTCATCGCTCCACTGAGTCCTACAAAGTCTATCAACACTGGATCGATAAACTTGTGGGATAATGTGACTATGTGATCAGGAAGGAACCACCTGCTGATTACTTATTTTTACTCCAGATATGGCGAATGGCACGCTATGGGCTCGCCTTTTTCTCGCACCCCCGCCTTTCGGAAAGAGTTTGAAAAGAAGGCCTCACAGTTCAGACTCTACCTGTGGTTCTGAATCTAGTCTCACAAGTGCAATATGAAACTGATAAACACCAAAGAGTCAAATCCAGCAAATCATTTTAGAAAATCAGATTTTAAATCAAATAATGCCAAAATTGGACTGTTTTGCCAAATTACAGAGTCGCCACCTAATATTTTATTTTTAGGAAATTTAGGAAACTCTAACTTGTGCCAAAGGCCACGTGTCTGTCATCCCCAAAGTTGCCTCGACTCGAGAACTTAGGTACGAAAGGGGAAGGTCCTGAAATGAGCACCCCCACTCGCCTGATCAAAGATCGACCTCTACTAATCATGATATGTTCTTTTATAAACCTCATGTGTTCTTATCTCGGTTATGAGCTAACTTTACTATGTGACGCACACAAGCAAGTATAGACTAAAATTGCAAGAATTGGAACATTTCAACTCATGTTTGTTTTCGAAAATGGATTGAATTCGCCACCCTCAAGTGGACTTAGAAATGCGGATTTGCCACCTCTAGTGGGCTTAAAACATGATTTTCCCACTTCGCAAAGTGGGCTTAAAACATATATTCGTTGAATCGTTCCAAAAGCAACAAAGCCTTCATCCACAGGCATTCATGCAGTTTAGCAAGTAAGCACATAGCCTCATGGCAAGCATGCGAAACATGGCAATATGGCAATCACACTTATGCAAGTATGCTAAAGCATAAAAACTTACAGAGTACTCCAAGCCAAAACAAAAACTAGTTAGAAATATGCATGATCCTAACTATACAAAATGCCTAATGTAACACATGCAATATGCAATTAATAGGCTCGGCTACTAATATGGCATTTGCAACACTATGATAGCATGCTTTGAAATACGTATTCAAAGAAATATTGAAATTGACAATGCAGTTTGAATGATGCGCCGAGCCTTGATGCATGCAAGACAAATGAATGGATGCAAACATACGAGCATATGGTATGCTAATCAAAACATGATCCCTAAATAAGAGGGTCCGAATAAATAAGAGCTAATTAGCTACGCTAATTAAGCTAAGCTATTACAAAATCGAAACTAATTAACTACTCTAGCTAATTATTACAACACTTGAATTGAAAAATTAGCTATGCTAACTAATTAAAGCAATTAACTGGCCTCGAGGGCAAGGGAGGCATGCATGCTCGGTTGGTTTCCTCCCAAAAATCCACCGTCTTGCCATCGGACGCCTCTGTTTGCACTTTCTTAAACACCAATAGTGCTGCCAACTTCTAGAACACCTCTGCTCCAACTCAGGAACACACTTGTGCAAAATTTCATTTCTGGCTGGCCGGCTACCAATGGTGGCTATCGGCTACAATTGGTGGCTGGTCAACTGCTACTGGTGGCCGGTTGGCTACCCCTTCCCTGAACTTCCCTTTTTTACTGCAACAGAGAGCAAACAGAGACAAAGTAGTGTATTCTCAAGAAGTGTATGTACTGTTACCCTCCTTATCATCACACAAGCTCAAAGAAGTGTAGCTCTTGGCTCTCAAGCTATCAACCAAGCATTTTCATGCATGATGGCAAAAGAACCAAGCTTGTACAAGCTTAATGAGTGCAAAACAAGAATCAACAAAACCACAAACCTATCATGTATGATCAAGGGTGATGGTGACCAAGGAAAATGGCACGTTTCATCCCTTTGAGTCTGAAACGTCCCATTTTTCTCGTGTTCGAATTAACGTCCGATCCGAACACATGCAACGCAACATGAAAGATGCTTATCTTGCCTCTTTTACTTGTCATGTTTGAATTATCCATTTTAGATTACCAAACCATTCTTTAATTGATTAGTCCAAAAGGTGGATGTCCTCTAGCAGAAAGAGGGCTTAAACCACAAGTACCTTGAGCATGAAAGAGGCCTCATGCTGTTAGTAATGAACTCCCAAAGGAATTAAACCATTAGGCATGAGGGTCTCAATTCCACACTCAAGCCAACAAGGGGTTCAAAGCCACTTTCAAAACAAATGAAAGAGTGAAGAATAGAGGGAGATTACAGATATTTCAGTGCTGAAATGGAGTGCAACATGACACTAAAACATGCAAGCAACTCATGCAATTCATGTTTGAAAGCCTAAAACATTAAGCTAGTAAAGCCATTTGCACTACAACTATGCAAAACAAGACTCATATGACCAAAACAACCCAAAACAGAGCTAAAAAAATCCAAATCAGAGGTAAAAATATACTGAGATTAAGGTGCAAAATGCTAGAAAATCATGCTCACATGTTAAAAAAATATACTGAGATTAAGGTGCAAAATGCTAGAAAATCATGCTCACATGTTAAGCTATCTAGGCTTACAATCAAGGCACAAGGAGGGGAGGCTACCCCCTCTAATTTTGGACTTCAAAACCAAGTTTTTACCACTGAAATAACTTTGAATTCAGTAATTTAAAGGGCTAAAAATTTTGGTGTGAATATGCTAAAAGATGGTACAAAAGCATACACAATAAAGCAACACGAAGGGTGGACTACCCCTTTACACAAAATAACCTCAAACCATCATGTTAAGGCTCAAAAATCAGAGTTTTTTGTAGTTGAAAACTAGGCCAAAAACAGTATAAAAAGATGGCAAAATAAGTAGTCAAAACAAAGCCTACGAGATAAGTCTTATACCTCTTGAAGCACAGCACAAAACAGTCACAATTTCAGGCTCAAACCTCCTTCCAAAAGCTCAAATTAGACCCCAAAGAACCTCAGCTCAAAGGTGAGAGTGTTTGGTTAAGGCTTGATGTACAAAGGTGTAGAGAAATAAGGCTTTAAGGCATAAAGCAAGAAGAGAGAGAATTCTAGAGAGAGAGAAATTTGATCCCAATTTTCTAACCCCCCAAAATGAGGGAGGACACCCCCTATATATAGAAAAACAAGATTAAAGCTTGCATTCATCCCTCCATACACGTGTATGGAGATGTACTTCAGTAAACAACAACTGGCATAGTTGGCAAATAAAAATCTGAAAAAGGAGAAAAATGGTCGACAGGCACAAGCCATGGCCGATGGACTGTGGGGATGGCCAACAGGCCACCCTCTCCTCCAGACTTAAAGCAACAAGCTCTTGGTTCACAACCAAACACAAAATAGACAAGTTTAGAGGCTCAAAGGATAGGTGCTCAGCCGAGAACTTTAGGCACTCAAAATGAACACGAGCACACAAAACCATCAAATGTTCAAACGATGACGTCCAAGTCTTGAGGACGGTCAAAAATGGGGTGTCTACACACGCACTGTTTTGAGCAATTTACAAATGTTGTTTATTTTACTTTCAGACTTGGGTATTGAGTCAGTCTTGTTGTGTTGTATTGAGTTAGTCTTGTTGCATTGAGTCAGTCTTGTTGTATTGAGTCAGGTGATTTCGGGGGTGTTAACTCGGACATCATTTTCTTGTTTTGTGTTTGTCTTTTGCACTCTTTCTTTTGTGTCTATTTCTGTCATTAAGCCAGTTAAGCCA